GCTTTTAATCAAATTAGTTATGCTTTGCTTTATATTCTTAATAATAATGGTAGATTATGCAATAAATGCAAAGTTTGATTGGAAGTTTTAAATAAGGAGGGCGGTGATAAAAGTATAAAATATAATATATAGTAATAGAGTAGCGAAAAAGATAATAGGAGATAAAGAAAATATATTGTATAAAAAATGTTAATAAAAAGGATGATATAAAGAAATCTAGATATAAATATTAAAAGACTATGACAGAAACAAATAAATTACAAGAATTACAGAAAAAGATTGAAGGTTATCAACGATTAATTAAAGAGAGTAATGTTTGAATAAAAGAATTAGCAAAAGTGAGCCAAAAATATAGCCATATTCCCTATATAACGGATATGGTGAAGGATTTAATTAAGATTGAAAAGCAAAGGCAAGAGGACTTTTATAAATGAAAAATTAACGAAGCCCGAGTTGAATTATTAAGTTTCCAAGCGTAATGAATAAAGAAATACAATTTAAGGGTAAAAAAGGGACTTCCCGGACTACTCTCTGATTAAAAAAAAGTGAGTTAGAAGCGATTAATGAGTTGATTAATAGATTAGATACTAATGAAAAAGTAAAAGATTTAGAAGATTGGGCGGCTCTGAAAACCATCCTTACTCAGCATAAGGAATTAGCCCGAGCCAAGACTTATTGTTTTGTAGGAACAATTGTTAAGAAAACAAAGGAAAAATTTCGAGAAACTAATGAGAATTTAGGAGTAAAAGCAGGCGATGAATATATTAAATTAGAATTAGATCTGAAATTATCAGGCAATAATAGAAATTTGATTATTTACTGTGCTTGATTCAATTTGGATGACCCTGCCGATTATCAAAAAGATGTCGTGCCTTGTATGACTGGTGAAACTTATGAGTTTGAAGTGGAACTATGAGTTGAAAATAGATATCGGCTTCGGAAAATTTTAAGGAAGTTATAAAGCAATAACCTAATGGCATGATGTTCAAGATGTGGTGATATCCAAAAAAGAAAACCAATTGGCCATACGCAAAGATGTAAAGAATACCGCCGCAATTATTATTTAAAAAATAAAGAGGCTCATATAACTAAAATAAAAGAGTGAAAAAAAAATAATCCAGATAAATGATTGTTAGCAGTTAAGAGAAGTGTAGGAGCCAGAAAAAAATATTATCAAATTTATTCTAAATATTATTACTTAAAAAAAGTTTTGGAGAATCCTAATTATGCCCGAAAAAACTATGAAAAAAGAAAGGATAAATTAGCCAAAGTAGGTGAAACGGTTGGTAGTTATGAGCGAAAAAGAAAAGCCAAAAAAAGAAATTCCGACAGTAGAAGAAATACTGGCGAAAGTTAGAAAGGAAGAAAATTATTCTAGCAATAATAATCTTTACCCTCGGTTGATGGAATTAGCCTTGGCTCGGCATATGGAGAAGGCTAATAAGAAAGAATGCCAGCCTGATAAGTGTCAGGGTTATTCAGAAGAAATGAAATTAGTGATTAGTGAATTACAAATAATATTAAAAAACGAAAAAAAGAAAGATACATTATAAAATGAAAGAAAATAAAGAAATGGAAAATAGAATAAAAGAGTTAGAAAATAAAGTTTTAGAACAGCAAAAAGAAAAGGA